TTTTTTGAATTTCGAATTGTGTCGCTATTGTGTTTACTTTAATCTCTTAATTTTGCCTAATATAAGACCTAATATAAATCTACCAAGTAAGTTTTAATTCGCCATAGATATGCATGCCATTTATTGCCCTTTTATCCAAAATTCCTGAGTGCTATAGAATACATTAGTTTTCCTGAGACAGCCGCTAGATCATCACCTTGGTTACAGCTGGAACAGGCCTTACAAAATGGCAAAAAGTCATTTAAAGAGAACCGGATACCACAGTCGACAAATTTCTTAGCTGCAGATGTGGAAATAGAAAGATCTCAGGTTGGAACGATGCTGTTGTTTTGTCTGGCCCGTTTCCATGTTGCGCTAACGTGCATACAATGTAACAAGCGTAAAGATAGGCACCACTTCCAGAACGACTCGAGATTAAAAATATTTCGCGACTACAATGCTAGTCCACCATATAAACCCCGGTTATGCCGTCAATTTTGGAACTAAATCCAAAAGTAGCTCATCCCTCAGCTGCGTTGGATATAATGTTGTTATTTGTTAAGACCAGGTAGGCGGTGGATGGTGGATGGTTCTGTGCGTAGAAGTAGAAAGCTTTTGACTGCCATTCACCTGGGAGTGGCCAGAAGTGATTCTTGTGAGTACGGTTCAAATCGCAGTTCAAAACGTCCGGATTTTTATATCCACGTAGCGAGCTAAACTGAGAAGGCGTAAAACTTCCCGTGCGCTGGTTTGGCTCCCGCCATGTTAAAACCCCGCCCAATGAAAAAGTTCAGAAAGTCTCGGATGAGACCTCTTTTTTTGACAACGACCAGGGCAAACGTATAAAGGACTATGATGCACCTGGAAATTCCGGACCCTCAATGGGGAAGGTGTCCCTGCCCGGCTGATTGATGTCCTCGGAAAGACAAAGGCTGACATCATCGCCAAGAGCGCAAATTCGGTGTTGGATTCGTGGTAGGAGAGATACTCCGTTGCCGAGTACTGGCGTTCACCCCGGTAGACCGAACGTCTAGCCACATTCCGCATCAAATCGAGATTCAACATCTCGCTCATCTGCACCCATGTCCCGACGGAAGAGAAGGACGATGCGTACAAGGATCACTTCTATGAGCGCTTGGAGCGTACATATGAGCGACACGATATCAAAATCGATTAGACGTACGTACTCTCCACGGGCCAAACATCAACTCGGACCCCTATCTTGTTGCAGCCAAGATACGCACCCGCCTCTGTGCAGCAAAAAATGTCCGCGCAACAATGCAAGGAAAGCTTAATGTCGAAAAGCTGCAGTCACAACAGACGGCCAATTTATTCGCCACTTGACTCACACACCTGGTCTTTGAGAGCACTCGTCAACAATCCGATATACGCGTGCAGTGGAACCGCATTTCCCGATCATTAAGTACCGCTGCCGAAGAAGTAGTTGGATTTCAGCGCGCACTAAAGAACAACTGGTACGATGAGGAATGTCAAGAAGCCGTAGAGAAAAAAGACGCCGCCTATAGGGCCACGCTGCGATCGGGCGCAACGCGAGCCATGTGGGATAGTTATACGGAACTGAAAAAATAAATGAGACGTATTTGCCGCAATAAGAAGAGGGAGGTCGAAATACGTGAGTGCGAAGAGCTTGAGGTGCTGGTCTACAGGAAGGATTAACGTTATTCTACACAACTGTGTCAGATTCACGGGATGCCAAAGTCAGACATCGCAGCATAAAGATAACTTATTCTCGTGTTGGCGGCCAGGTTTTGAAATCTACAAATATATTCTAATATTTGCGAGTTTTTTCCAAGATTTGACGTATTGTGAGTATCTGATCTATGGTGGATTTGCCAGGTCTAAATACACGCTCATAAGGCCCAATCAGCTCGTCGACGGTGGGCTTCAGTCTTTCACACATTACGCTCGATAAGACCTTATAACCTATGCTTAGAAAGATGATCCCGCGGTAGTTGGCGCGTATGTGGGGTTGCCCTTCTTGTGGATTGGGCAGATCACACTTAAATTCCAGTCGTCAGGGATGTTTTCATTTCACCATATTCTGCATAAGAGTTGATGCATGCATCATATCCGCCCCGCGCCGCCTTATTTGAATAGCTCGACTGGCAGGCCGTCAGCTCCTACAGCTTTGTTTTTCCGCCGCGTAATCGCTGTTCGGACCTCGTCATAGTCAGGCGGTGGGGCATCGACTCCATCGCAATCGCCTAGGTGCTCAAGTTCGTCTTCTCCACTACTTTCAGGGTTGCTGACATTCAATAGATTGGAAAAATATTCCGCATAATTTAAATGCATTCTAGACATCGGTAACTAGGTCGTCACTGTTATTCTCACAGGAGTTCGCCCTGGTCTTGAAACCTTTCGTAAGCCGCCAGCATTTTAAGCTTTTCGCACCCACGTATTTCGGTCTCTCTCTTTTTAATGCGGCAAATTCGTCTCGCTTCTCTCTTCAGTCGCTATAACAGTCCCATATGGCTCGTGTAGCGCCCGATCGCAGTGTGGCCCTGAAGGTGGAATATTTTTTCCTGCAGCTTCGTGACATTCCTTGTCGTACCAATTGTTCTTTTGGGCTCGCTGAATTCCGACTATCTCTTCGGCGGCGGCACGTTATGGCCGGGAAGTGTGGTTGCACTGATCACGTATGTCCGTTTGTTGGAGATTACTCTCAGAGAGCAGGTATCAGAGTCGAGTGCCGAATAAATTGACCGTCTGTTGTGATTCCAGCTTTTCAACGCTGAGTTTTCCTTGCATTGTTGGACGCACATTTTTTGCTGCTAAGAGGCGGATGCGTATGTTGCTGAAACAAGAAACTGGTCAGAGTCGATGTTTGTCCCTCGGAGTTTACGTATGTCTAAAACACTGGACGCCTGACTTCCGTCTATCACAACATGGTATATGTATTTAGTTTATTCTTTTTCAATGTGGAGACAGTCATTTAGCTTAATGACTCATTTTATGCTGGAACCTAGTACTTTACCCCTTACCATGTTCCCATTCCCGGCGAAGTCGATCAGCCTCAGTCTGTTGTTGGACGTTTCGTCGTGGAGGTTGAATTTTCCGACGGTGGTTTCTATCCATCGGGTCAACGACAGCATTCGGCGCCGGAGTCTCTCGGTGATGTTAACCTTTGTCTTCACGAGGTCATCAATCAGCTGGTCCTCAAGTCATAGTGGTTTATACGTTTGCCGTGGCATATTTTTTGCTTTCCCAGGCATATTTTTTGCTTTATTACTGCACCTACCTATCGTCGCCTGGGTAAAAGATTGTCGTATGTTGATTTCGGCAGGTTGCGGGAAATCGCGATTGAAGTTTGGAATGCAATTTCTCAACAACGCGAGGATAGAATTTCTCCAAAGTCTCTGAAAATGTTACTAGTTCACAAAATTCTTAAATTATTTAATTTTAAATTTTATTGTTAATTAGTTTTGAGTTTATGAAGGATTTTATTTAGTAAAATTTTGTCGTAAGCGTCATTTGTCTACAATTTGGCAGCCACATTGTATGAAATACGACAAAATGTGATCAAAATTTCTACTAAATTAATGACACTTTATACTCAATATCTCGAATACTGAAGGGGATATCCAAAAATGGAGAACGCCGTTTTTAAGGTATTGATTAGTTTAATATGACTGCATCACTAACTAAATTTTTACCAAATTATCGAAAAAATTTTAGTCAATATCTCGGAAACTAAAGGAGATATCTAAAAACACATAACACCAATCGAAAGATCTTATTTTAAAATATATAACTGCATCTATAGCTAAAAATCGTCAAAATTACGCTTACGACAATCTTTTACCCAGGCGACGATATGTATTTATAATTTCGCCATGAAAAATTATAATAGGCGGCATACACCGCCTATAAGGCAAATTATTTTATTTTTTTTTACAATTTTGAGTAAAAACCCCAATTAAAAAGAAGTACTTTTCCTAAAAAAAATCCTAAATATTTTTTTACAAATCAATTTCCTTAAACTTGATTTCCAAATCTATTTCAAAAAATGTTTACTGTCTGGTAAATTTTATCATATTTCGTTAAAAATATATGTATAATTCTCTCTATGCAATAAATTTTTTCGTAGAAATTTTTTTGTTATACGTATTTATTTAAAAAAATAATTACTATTCCTGAAAAATTATTTTTGCCTAAAACTACCGGAGAGCAAAACGTATTTTTCTCAAACAATTATTTATATCTAAAATGAGTAGTCGTTAAGATTTCTATGCCCACATTGCTCCAAATCTACTAGAACTTCTTAAATTACTGGAGCCCAAAAAACATTCTACCAAAAAATATTATCCTATAAAATTATTATTTCTTAAAATTTTGCATTGATTTATAAAAAAAAAATCCCTGAAAAGTTACTTTCCCTAGAAAGTACTGGAGCGCAAAAACATTTTTCCCAAAAAAATATTTTCCTCTAAGGTTATCTCTTAAAATTTTGCATTTATTTATAAAAAAAAAATAACTTTATTCATAAAAAAATTCTCTGAAAAGTTACTTTCCCTAGAAAGTACTGGATTGCAAAAACAATTTTCCCAAAAATTAATTTCCTTTAAAATTATAATTTCTTAAAATTTTGCCTTTATTTATAAAAAAAAACAATTTTTCCGCAAAAAGTTATTTTTTCCTAGAAAGCACTGGAGCACAAAAACATTTTTCCAAAAAAATTATTTTCCTCTAAAATTATTATTCCTTAAAAATTTTCACTCAACTTGTTCTGAATGTAGTAAAACGTCCTCATTCAAAATTACTGAAGCCCAAAGAGACATTTTTCCCAAAACGGATCAACCAAAATAACCTAACCTAATCTGAATAAATAAATAAATAAAACGTCTGGAAAAAAGTTAATCGGATTTTTAAGTTTTCCCTTTATTGCGAACTTAGTTACATATATTATGCATTTATGTATGTATATGTTACGAATGTGTGTATGTATTTAGAAGCCTCTTCAGATTAGACATTTACTAATAAATTAAAATAAATAAGGCACATTTTCTACTTATGAGCTAGTTGCATGTAATTTTAAAGTTCTTATTTGTAGTATATAAATATGTATGCAGGTATGTATATATTTTTTTGTAAATTTTGGAAAAGAAAAAATATTTTTTAATCTTTTTAATGCACTTCCTGCCTGCATTGCCAGCCAAAAATATACTTTAGATCAACACGAAAATCCAGTAAAATCAATTTTCAACCAAAATTTTGTTCGCCTAATTGTATTCGAAGGCTTCAAAACCAACTCCGTCGTTTTCCTCGTCACGATGTAAACCATTTATGCCGAATAGCTCAACTTGTTGAGGTCGAATCTGTCGATAGCCTTCACCTTGCTCGTAATCGGCATTTGCCTGTACATTGGCATATCCACCAAAACGCTTTGGCGTCTCATGATAGGCAGCAATATCGCCATTGTCATGCTTCGGCCACATGCACTCACAACCCGAAGGTACGATGCGTATTTCCGATTCCCAACATTCGTCCGTGGTTGCTTTTTTACGTCGTATCAGGTGTATGGTACGATTTAGTTGGATACAAGAGAAGCCAGCTTCAGAACAAATCTGTGAAAAGGAGTAATACAGTTAAACTTTTTTCATGATTGTTAATTCATTAAAATTTCTCTATGCATACCCGATTCCTTCTGAACTCATAACTGTGCGCCGGCGTATGATGAGCGCAACTAACTTCGATATATTGACTGGGACGATATTCATAACCGGATGTTTCTAGTGGTATGGCGATGCGTTTTGTGGGACACAGCGACTGGTAAGCGATCTGCGTAAAGTTTAAAATATTTATTAAAAGTATTTTTTATTTATTTTTATTTTTTAAGCTTCCAAGCTTTCACTCTACACACCGGTTTAATATGGTCTGCATTATGGCGCGCCTGGCGCTTGCGCACATTTTGTATGCCATACGGCAGTTCTAAATTCAGCTCTTCCTCATCCGCAATATCAGACGATGAAGTTGGTGTCGACCGACGCATAAGCTCCGGTTGATGGTAGTTAATCGCACTGAAATATTATTAAGGTAAAATTATTAAAATATACAATGCATATACATTTATCTTTGTTATGAAAAATCACTTGCCCACTTACTTTTCAATTTCATTGGTTTCACGAAGTTCAGCTCCATCGCTATCCTTGTTCTTAGCGCTTTTGGTTGTGTACTTTTCATGCTGAAAGCTGCCAAAAATTTCACTAAGATCGCTGTTATTTTCTCTTTCCACTGCCGCTTCATCACCATCTTGTTTTTGCTGTATTTCCATCAAAGCTGTTTCACGCCTGCGGTTCGCTTTCGTTAATCCATTTCTAAACTGAGGTTCAGCCACGCTCAGAAGCCCATTTTGTAGCCGTTGTTGCCGCTGCTGTTGCAAGTAATCATTGTAATCCATATTGTTGTTATTGTTATTCGAATTATGCGAAGCCTCTGCTTCCTCATTTTCATTGTAATATTTATTTGAACCTTTTATGTTTGGTTTAAGCTCGCCGAAATGCCTCTGCTCCTGTGAATTGCGTTGCAATTGTTGTTGTTGTTGCTTTAGTTGTCGTTGTGCCATCAGAAAAGTATTGCTGTTGGCGTCATCACTGACACGATCGCCCAGAGCGTAGCTCAAAGAAACAACTCGTGAAATGCAGAAGAAGATCGGCACAATGGCTAGAAGGAGCTGTGAAGAAGAAAAATAATAAAAGAATGTTACTGGAGTTGTGTATTAGTGCTGAGTTAATGAGTCAAACTTGCGTGAGCTCAAAGTACAGTTTATAAAAAATATTATCATCATATGATACGTAGCAATAATTAATTAATAATTATTATTCAGTAGAAAAAAAAATTTTAAGTAATGTGAATTTTATAGGTGCAACAAAAACTATGGACACCGCGACCTAGAAGATCTTTTGTATCCCTATGTTAGGTTCTAACCCTGATGGCACAAACAACGAATTTCTGACAACAACGGCATCGACTGTGGAAGAACTTTTGAGAGATTTCGCCGACCTAAACGAGGTTAGCAATTCTTAGTAGGTTGTCACCGCCGTGGGCATCCGAACAGACATTTGCTTGCGGAACAACCCTCGCCACGGTACATCAGAAGGCATCTATACGAACTAACAGACGAAGTCCAGAGGTTCATTTAGCAATCTTTGGACCCAACAGCATACAAATAGGCCCTGAACGGCATTCACAGGGAGTCAGTCTCGAGTTATATACATAGACTCTCGGCTTGTGAATGTCGTTTTGGGCTCACAACCATCACACGTGGACGAGAAGAGCTTCGTCTGCCTCAGGAGACTCGCACCAAAATATCCCACCTTCGCTCTGGCTATTACAGTAGGATAAAATCGTACCTGAGCAGAGTAAACGCAGATGTGCCCAACGAGTTCCTGCATGCGGAGAAGCACTCCATGACTTGTGAAATCTCTTTGCTTGCCCACTGAACCCTACTCAACTAAAGCCTCCGTCCATATGGACAGACCCTATTAAAGTTACATGCTTCTTGGGTCACCCGCTGGTTGAGCTTGACGACAACAATTGAGAGACTAACCGATCTGGATGGGAATGTTGTAGCTTATAAAACAACACCAACTGTGGAAGAACTGCAGTCTTAGTCTGGCCAATGCCGGACAATCACCCATACGTAATGTGCACTGATGTCTCCTTCTCAAGACAAAGACGGCAATCCATATTTGTGTATAGGTCAAACCGTTGCATGAGCGCATGTTCTTATATGTAGGTTAGGTAACCAAAAAGGTAACTTGATGTTTTGGCTCTATTCAATTTACATTGGTATATATATTTTTCCTAGCAAAAGGATAAACAAATGGTCTAGCCTGTCTAGGGCCCCCTACTTCTTTCCAGTACTTATTGCATTCTGAGTTACCCCACGCTTCGATTACAAGCCTTG